AATCATAATATGGTTATGAACGATTGTATCAGAACTATGTGTGAAACCCATGGAATTCATAATATGTTTATAAACACCATATCGGCAATAAGTGTGCAACCCACGAATTCATAATATGTTTATGAACGACTGTATCGGTACTAAGTGTGCAACCCACAGAATTCATAATATGTTTATGAATGATCGTATCAGCACTAAGTGTGCAACGAAATTCATGATATGTTTATGAACGACCGTATTAGCACTAAGTGTACAACCCACGGAATTTATAATATGTTTATGAACGACCGTATTGGCACTACGTGTGCACCTCAAAGAAATTATAATGATTTGAAAACAATAAATTCGTATTTGATAGATATGATATAATGATGTATTGAGTTCACCTCATTAGTGTTCTTGCCTCACTAAGTAAATACTTAACATGTGTTTATTTCACACGTAGGTGTAGAAAACAGACTAAGGAGTGCATCTGACATCGCAAATCAAGAGTCGCCTCATCAGTAACTGTACGACAGATATGTCTATTTTTTATATTATTAGTTGGTATGTAATAGAATTATGACAACACTCTGAATATTATTTAACTTATGATGATGTAAGAAGATAAAATGTTTGAACATTAAATTTTTGTTTACATACTAAAGTTTAATGAAATGTTTATTATTATTAAATTAAAATGTTTTATAATAGAAACAAAATTTTATTGGTTTTTAAAAAAGGAAATGCTTTAAAAGTTATGTGACATTTATGTCTCGTATACGAAAATGTATACGGGAAATGGGTGTTACAGTGAAAGCTTTACCCTCAATTCTTGTTAGACCATATTTGTGAAGGTAAGGTTTGTAATCTCCATTCCTAGAGCATTTTTCTAAGCTATCTATCTCCACAAATAGGTGTGTTAGCAATGGAAGAGGTTTAATGTTTAGACTAACGTTTCCACCCTTTCTAAGTATTAGAGATGAAATCATACTTCATTCCCTTGTTGTTTCTAGTAAGGGAAGTAAGAGAAAGCTCAAAGGTGAAGAGCAAGGAGAAAGTGGTCCTTGGGTGGGCTTGAAGTTGGTTTCCAAACCCTTAGTTGAAAGCTCACACATTTCTACCATCCTTTACCACTTGTAAATCAACATGTGTAGTTTTTATGCTTGTATGAGTGTATGAGTCATTTTGGGTGCATTTGGGGGGTTCAAAGAGTAAAAATTGTAATTTATTGTTATATAGGCATAAAGTAATGACCTTTTATGACCTTAAAGCACCAAATAAGCTTTAAAAACTATTTAAGGGTTTTGGGGACACCTAAGGAGTGATATGAGAGATTTTGGATGAAAGAAACAGAGTTTTATAAGATTAGGGTATCAATATTGTTCACAGTACCAATACTACTCGATGCGGATGAACAAAATTCAAAGGGCTTTGTGAGGAGAGTAGTGATACCCAATCAAGGAGTATCGATACTACTCATGAGGTATCAATACTCAGACGCCTAGCATCGATACTCGGGGGCTTCATCAGATTCAAGTAGCCAATTTTTGTATCGGTACTCATGAGAGTATCAATACTGAGGGTAGAGTATCGATACTCCTAGTAGGGGTATCTATACCAAGTTATTTTTTAAAAAATGAAAGTAATTTTGGTATCGGTACTCATGGGAGTATCAATACTAAGGAGGGAGAGCATCGATACCCCAGGGGAAAGTATCGATACAGAGAAAAATTCTAAAACATCAAATATAAAATTGGTACTGATACTCAAGGGAGTCTCGATACCCTATGAAGGGAAATATTGATACCCAAGGATGAGTATTAGTACCATCGTGAATGTTTAGACTATAAGTCTTGCTTGGATTAGAGAGATGAAAATGGGGTTTTATGGGGGGAAACTCTCTAATAATGCTTACAAGTGGAAACCTTAATAATTGTGTGATAAAATAAGATCTTAATGAGGTAAGATTGCATAAGAATTATGCCTATGTTTGATGCTCGGGAAAATGGCGAGGACACTCGAGTCACTTGTAATTTGACTTCATGATAAAATATGAAATATCTGGATATATCCAAATTAGTGCTCGGGCACTTAAAACACTAGTTAGACGTTGTGTTGTTGTTATGTGACTCAGACACTTCATGAGTACTCGAGAGAAGTAGACCAACTTGCCAAGGTATCGATGCTATGTGACCCATACCTATCCTGAAGAAATATGGAGATGCTGATGTTGTTTGACCCATATCTCGCCTAAGATTCTTTAGTAAGAAATAGGGGTGTGAGTTCTATGGTGCTAAGTGACCCCAAGATACACCATGATGCTTACTTTGGTTGTTGTGTTATTGTGTGCAAATGTTCATAACCATATTAGTCGCATGCCTATATGTTGAATGCATGTAGTGTAGTTGGGTTATTTCTGTGGCACTGAGCTTGTGAGCTCAGTGAATGGAATGTGTTTCCATGCACATGTTCTTAGATTCCATTGAGGAGCTCGTCGCCAGGTTCGGAGATCCAGACTTGATCAACTATCATATTACGTCTCGAGTATTATAGTGAGCATGTACTATCATAGACCCTATTGTATGTTTTGAGTTATAAACTCCATTGTTATTATGTATTTTTAGAGATGAGTGTTGGAAGCTCCCTCATATTTTGTAGACGTATTTAAATTTGGTATTTTTATCGTACTTTAAATGAATGGATATGTTAAATGATTTAAAAAAATGGTTGGCCACTTCAGTGGTACCATGTGACATTCTAATCCACTGGGTTTTAGGTAGGATCGAATTAAGGTATTATAAAGGCTGAGGCCGCAGAATCAAAAAGGGACATTTACCCCATTTAGTGAATGCTCTGTACTTCCCCTATCAGAATCCAACCCAATATGACATGCAAAATGACATACATATTCGATTCCGATCTGATTTGAATGTAAAATATCACATACCAAATATTTAGTGTTATATATATATTTCGATTCTAATAATTCAACACAATCACATGTCACTTATCCAAATTATATATAACATCAATTTTTATAGTCAGACATGTTTTAAAATAATTTTCAAATCAAGCAAGCAAGCAAATAACCTATCAATTTAAATATAGCATTGAATAGACACACCTCCACAAAATAATTCTAACTGCGATTGTAATATTTCTTAAGTTCATCTCAAATCGAGGGTCTGATCGAATCAATCCCTACAGAATAATTAACAATAATTTACTATTCTAATTTAATTTCATAATCATATCTAGCTATGTAATCGTTTAAAACTCACTATCAGTCCTCGCAACACAAGTCGATTCAAAATGAGTAGGTATCGATGGAGGAGGCAGTAAATCAAATTTCGATTCGATGTCTCCTACAAAAAATTAAATCGTCCGATTTAAAATCCCAATTTGCAAATATTTAGATTAATGTAGAAATTAATACGACCCTAACATAACTTCCTCTTTTGAATTAAAGACTGGACAGCGGGAATTTGGTTCGAATGCGATGGCTGTCAGTAACGAAAAATAGGGGCTGCCAGCGACAGAATTCATCACCAACAATCACAAAAGGCTGGGGATGCTCACGGTCACTTAGCCGTGACTCGAAGTGGTAGGAAAACGAGTGGAAAAGTGCTGTCGAAGTTCCTATGGCTAACGGAGTTGGTACGAGTGTGACGTCCCTCACGCCAACCCCTTTCGAACAAACGACCAAGCGAATGACCGTGAACAGTAGTGGAAGCTACGAAAATGGTGAGGCTTCTTTTCTTCCTTTACCGAGCGAAACAGCGACCAAATGATAAAGGTCGTGATGAGAGTGCAACTACACGATGAATGATTCACCGGCCACCTGACTTCGACGTGACAATAGTGACGAGAATGAGTGAGAAGAATGACGTGAGGGAAAGTAGAAAGAAAAAAAGGAAACAGCTGGTGAGGCCGCGTGAAATTGAAAAAGGGTTGGGATTATGACATCAGGAAAAACGGATAAACCACCAACTAAGTCTCTCAACCTTTCAGGGTTTCCGAAATGTCCTCAAACTTTATTTTCTTTACACACACGTCACCAATGTTCTTGAAATTTTCAATTTTGTCCCTATATCCAATTTATGGATTTGAAATTTTTTCCCCAAATTTCAGGGTTTTCAATTTGGAATAAAAACGGAGTGTTACATTTCTCAAAGCATCAATTCAGTCTTTTTTTTTTTTTTTGCGGTGGTCGGAAATCTTACAATACTTGAGGAAATCTCGTATAAGAGAATAATCTGATATATACCAAACATTGAGAAATCTTTTTTAGTTGAACTTGTAGAGAACCATGTATTCCATATCCAGTTAATTAGGTAGCGGCTATCATTTTTATATAATTATGACTTGACAAGTTAATTCTAGTTGCTCTGTGATGGTGACTTATTCAGCTGTGTAATGGTTTTGCTTATTTATCAATTTAGTGCAGTTAGTTTTTGGTATAATTATCGGTATCCAATCTATTGATTGATTAATCTAGATCGAGTAATACAGATGCGTGGACGACCCTTGCAACCCAATTTTTTCCATTGCAAGAATTCAAACCTATACTGCTTATTTAAAGCAATTCCAATATCAATATCAGGCTAGGCTTTTCTCAGCTTAGTAAATCAATATTAGGGCTTGACCGGGGAATCAATATTTGCTATGTTTCTTGGAGGCTTAATTGGGTTAAAAGTAGCGAAAATAAGTGTACTCAATTGTAAACTAACAGCTTATAAGAGATTCTTTTTTAGTATGCTCCATCTTTTGCTATGATTGCAGGTAGAAGAAGAGAATTACTCTCTTGATCGATTTTAGATTTTTTAGCCATACATAAGTTTTGCATGCTGGAAATCATAAAACTAAAGGACTGCATAAACTGTAATGAATCTAAATCTGTTGTTTTAAATCAAAATATGGCTACCAGTCTCTGCAAATTAACTGATGTAAATATCACTCTCGAATTCATACATAATTATTGTGTCTCGCCATTTTTCAGGCAAAACTACAGAAACTTTTCAATCACGAAGCAGTTCGTCGGAGTCATAATTGGATACCGACATGTCCGAGTCCTGGAACTCAATCTCAAACAAAGGCTCATTCTTCTTTGGGGGAGGTACAATAGATCCTAGCGATGATGGTGAGAAAGGTAAACCAGCTTCAAAACACTCCTGAAACAACAACATCTGCTCAAGCCTTTTCACCACATCCGCCATCGTCGGTCTTTCACTTCCTCGATTGTTCGCGCACGCGTATGCTATATCAGCGTATGCTCTAAGACACCCCGGTACAACCTCGTCATTCATTCGAGGATCAAGTATTTCACCAACCCTATCATCTTCCACACACTGTCTCCACCATTGCATCCCGTGTGTCCCATGTTCCTCTGTCATGGTCATTTCAATTGGTTTTCTTGCAGACAACACCTCAAACAACACAACCCCAAAGCTATAAACATCAGATTTCAGACTCAGATGACCGGTCCTCAAATATTCAGGGTCTAAATACCCCACAGTGCCTGCTACAACGGTGCTGACATGACTGTCTGTTTCGGACAACCCTGTTGGCACAAATCTGGAGATCTCGAAATCCGAAATCCTTGGAAACCAGTTCCTGTCGAGAAGAATGTTGGAAGATTTAATGTTCCTGTGGATGATCGAGGGGGTACCTGAATGTAAGAACTCCAATCCACGAGCAGCTCCAATGCAGATTTCAACCCTCCTTTTCCATGATAACAGGGTCTTTTGATTATGGAGTTGATCATGGAGATCTCCATGGGGCATGTATTCAGAAACAACATATCTATGGGGTCCCTCAATACAGTAACCAATAAGAGAAAGGATGTTTGGGTGATCCCTCTTTGATGGAGATTCCATCTCTCTGAGAAATAATTGAGGACCATTGAGTGAATAATACATCTTGACGACAACCGTTTCCTTGAAGTCGCCATTGAAGAAACCTTTGTAAACACTACAAAAACCACCTTGACCTAGTTTCGAATTGAAGTTTAGGGTTGCGAAGCGGAGCTCTTCGAGTGTAAACCTTCGATAAATTCTTGCCCATGGTGGTGGATCTTCTTTGAGTTTCTTGGGTTTTCTCCAGAAAGAGAAGAAATTAGGAGACGGGTGTTTGCCTGAGGCAGGATCGGCAGATTTTGATGCCGATGCGACCATATCAATGGAAAAAAGCAAGGTCAATCAGTCGGAGAAGAGAGAAAAAAAGGAAGAAATTGTGGAAAATCTAATGGAAATCTGAAACCTCACAAATGTTTTCTGGATTGTGTTGTCACAGAATTCTCATTATCAGGCAGCAGTTGACTTGCAAAATCAGTTTATAAGTTATTGGTAAAATACAACCAAGACCACTTAATTACGAATGGATTCTAAACTTATCACTGATCTTTCAAAATTTTCAATTAAATCATTTAACTGTAGAGGGATTTTAAATTGATTACCGATATTTTAATTTTGTCAATCATACTGGTTAACTTTTTAAATGATGCAAATCAAGCTACTAGTTGCTAACATTTACCGGAGAAGTTAACATGATAGCTAAAAAATTAGTATAATTACATTTTTTATATATGTTAATTTCACATTCTATCAATTTGATTCTAATTTTAATTTAATTAAAAAGTTTGATAATTCAATTAGATCGTAGCATGTGTCATCATTTGATTAAACGTTTTCATAATTGTTGTTTATTTAATACAATTAAATTTTCTTCTAACTAAATGATTTGATCAACAAAATTACATGATCTAAATCTCCCCTTTAACTTTTCTATTTTTTTCAAATTAAGATAAAAAATATATATACTAGATGTTATCTATTATATACCATTAAATGGTCTGGGTTTAATTTACTCTTCTATTATATTTTTGTGTAATTTATTGAATTAAATTAAAATTAGAATCAAATTGATATAATATGTGGATCATAAGGATTGAAAGTAAATTATATCAATTTTAACTAATACGTCAGCTTCTTTATTGAATATAAATGTTTGGTGACTTGAGTGACATAATTAAAAGAGCAATGGTCAATTTAAAATCTCTTCACAGTTAAGTGGTTATGGATGTAGTATACCCTATATACCAATTTTTCGTTTGCTTTTATTTTCATTTTGATAAACTACGTTATTAGTAAATAATCACCAAATTATTTTATGACAAAAATGTTACTAGTTTTAGGATTCTTTTTCTAATTTAATTACCAATTGTTACAAAATTAACACGTTAATATAATTTTTTATTTTATTTTTCATATAATTTTATCTCTTCTTACCAAACATATATATATTATTATTTTTTTCTTTTGAAAGAATGCCCACAAATATATTACCCAAAATAAATGTCATTGGTTATAAAGGATAACATCAAAACAAACCGAGTCAAAAAATAAAGTACGCTCAGAACTAAAAGCCCAAGAGGCTAACGTTTGAGCATCCTTATTACAATTACGCTCAACATAAACCAACAACAAAATATACATGAGTAGCTAAGTTATCCCGTGCTTCTTGCAAATGGAAACCAAAAGTAGACAAGTCATTCATATCACCATTAAGCTTATTAACAACCATAGTGGAATCTAATTCAATAACCACTTGAGACCAATGGTTCTTGATCGCAAACATTAAACCAGCAAAAACAATGCGACTCTCGGCGAGACCTACCTTCCCATAAGACGAAGACGCCATAGCCATACTTCTTAGAGGTAACCCAACCGCATCACGAGAAATGACCCCAACTACAGCAATCCATCTACAAGAGTTGAATGCTCAGTCCACATTGATTTTTATAAAGTCTCGATCTGGCAGTCTCCATCTCTCATTCCTCCGACCGTCCTCATCAAAGATTTTGGCCACTATGTTATCCTTCAATCGATGATGGCGTAGGGTAGCTGCTCTACTAGCAGCTTGATTTCTGGCCGAAAGGTATTCTCGTTGAAGCGATTGCCCGTTAAGGGCCATAATACACGGGGTTGATACTTAGCATCATGAACCTGAGTATTACGCCCATTCCATATATTCCATAGAAGGACTATAAATTCAGAAAATCAGACTATACCTAGAATAGGAACGACGGTTTCAAACCAATGCAAAGTAGACGTGCAAACGAAGGAGCCAACCAAACTAAGAAATCCCGCTAGCTCTAACGACTCTTGTGCATACACACAATCTTTCATCACATGGATCATGTTCTCCTCTGCTACATGACACATGGGGCAAACCCATCACCTATGCCTACTTCACGAAGATGTTTTCCTACCAGAAGACCCTCATGTGCCACACGCCATGCAAATACTCTCAGCTTTGAGAGAACCTTTAATTTTGCAATAGCCTGCCAAACTTGTGAAATTGGTTCTACCGAATGCAAATGCCATTGTAACCACCAATATCCCAATGAACAAAATAAGTGGCAAAGTCGTGGAATCCCCAAATTAGTACCTCTTCTGTGTAAGGTGCAATGGTTGTTGCTAATATCTTATCATTATCCTCAGTCATGAACATAGCTCAAACCATGTCTCAGACCAACTATTGCTACCTGGAAGCATAAAGAATACCGCCTTAAACTGTTCTAGATGGACAACATTATAGACACCAAAAAGGATTACCCTACCTGATCCACCATATTGATCCCACAAAAGGTCATTTTGCTATCAATTCCAATGCGCCAGAAAATAGCACTAGACATAGCTTGAAGTGCCATATATATCCCTTTCCAAGCATAGGAACTCATAACTTTGTTTTTAGAATTAAGAATATCCCCGCCAGGGAAATATTTTTCTCATAACGCACAAGAGAGCAAACAATTGGGATATCGAATAAGCCTCCACACTGTTTACCTAACAGTGCCAAATTAAAGGAGTGTAAGTCTTGTAAACCAAATCCTCCTAAGTGTTTCGATTGACAAATCTTTAACCATGCAATAAGAGACCATCCTCTATCTGTGGTCTTTCCTCTCCACTAGTAATGTTGCATTACAACAGTCATGTCAATAAACAACCGCTCCAGAAGCATGTAACAAGAGATAGCGTACTGAGGTAACGTTTGTGCCAATACTTTAAGGAAAATCTCTCCACCTCCATAAGATAACAATCACTTTATCCATCCTTAACACGTTCAACCACTTTGGTTCACAGATAGTCGAACGCGTCAGGTTTTTTCTTCCCAATGTATAATGGTAAGCCCAAATAGTGACCAAAAGGCGTAATTGGCCGAATACCAAGTATGTTCATTAACTATCGGTTCTGATCATCAATGGTCTTGGGGCTGAGATAGATTACTGATTTATCCAAGTTCACTATTTGTCTAGAAGATTCAACATAGACTTGAAGAATTTCCTTAATATGTCACACCTCTGATGTAGAATTTTGCATGAACACCAAGCTATCATTCGCAAATAATAAATATGAGATACGCGGTCCACCTTAGCAAGCACGAATGCCCTTAATCATACCCTTCTTTTGTGCCTTGTGAAATAAAGCCGATAGACCTTTAGTCATAAAAAGAAAAAGAAAAGGTGATAATGGATCGCCTTACCGAAGTCCCCTCGATGGGGTGAAATCTCTAGTGAATGATCCATTAATGCGAGCGGTGAATGTAACATGGTCACAAACTCTAGCGAGAGGTGACACATCATATTATAGTGGCCATAAACTCACTATTAAAACAAATTTTGGCACTGCCTAGAGAAAACTCCATTCAACATGGTCATAGGCCTTCTCAATATCCAGTTTAAGTGCAACGCCATTATTTGCACCATTGCTGGACGAATTAAAATAGTGAAATAACTCATATGCCACTAAAATATTATCCGCTATTTGGCGTCCTAGAAGAAAGGATGCTTGATTATCACTTATACATGAAGCCATAACACCAGGGATTCAAAAAATGGCCGTATAACGGCCGTTATATCGCGGTATCGGCGGCTCCCATTACCAATATCAACCGAAATCACGGTGTGAAACGGAATCACACCTATAATGGCCGATAACGGCCAAAATTTAACGGGTAACGATCGATCGTGGCTATAACGGACCGTTTTTCCCGTGGGTCCTTTTCATCTTCCTCGAGAAGAGCTTCCAACCAGGTGGTTGGAGGTGAGCGGAAGCGGGCAAGTCCAGCTTGACTCCCTTCACCACCACTACCACAGCTGGAGCTGATACTTCCGGCAGGCGTCGGCTTCATCTGCTTCTCTGTTCACTGTTCAGTTCGAGGGAGATGAAGGCTTAGGAAGATGAAGGCTTCATCCTTGAACGAGCAAACTGCATTGCCTCTCTTAAGGGTTCCTTTTTCTCTGTTTTTGCATGAATTTCTGATGAAGCATCTTTGGAGAAGCTTCTGGAGGACAGTGGTGCTAGTTGGTTACTGGAGGAATCACTTGTTTGCATAATAGGTTGCTGGACGGGCCCTAACCGGGTTTGGGTTAAATGGGTTAATGTTTGGTTTGTCTTAATTTGTGTTGTAATTTGAGATATAGAAAAGTAGACTGTTTGGCATCGATTTGTATTTTGATTGTTCTTTCATTTTTATTGTACAAAAGAAATTAGGCGTTTGAGATAATTATTTTTACAAAATACTCTAAAAATCATTAAAAGTGATTTTCTATAATTATAATTATAATTATAATTACTATATTTTATAATAAGTTATGCGAATTTAAAAAAAATTCACGTCTGCGATACCCGCAATGACCGCGATAGCATTCGTTACGTCCGCGACCGCAATAAACACAACGCAACCGAAAACGCGATCGCGACCGCGACTGCAATTTGAATCCCTGCATAACACTCTTTAGTTGATTAACCAATACCTTAGAAACCACCTTAGACATTGCATAAGCTAATGGGTCAGAGTTGTTTCATGTATTTCAATTCTTCTACCTTCAGGATGAGCACCAAAACCATCTTATTTACCGTTTTAATATCCCCTGTGTCATTTAGAAATTGCAGACAAAAGCTAACAACATCAGGACCAACCAAATCCCAATGCAAGCGATAAAAACTTGCCAGCAATCCGTCGATGCCTAGTGCCTTTCTAGGTTGATGTCTTTAAAAGGATTAGCACCTCAGTTTCACAGTAAGGCTTACTGAGCTCGGCATTCATAAATGTGATAACAACCTCATCAATTGCCTTGATAACGTAAGTGGCCATAATTAGGTTAGAAGAC